AAAATATTGGTATGTGACTTTTTAGCACTGGTTTCTGTTTTTTAAAAAAATATATTCCTCTAAAAGTCCTTTGGTTAGACCTTATGATGAGTATTTTATCTTCAATTACGGAAAATTAAAATTTTCGGTGCACTAGCCAATGTTTACACGTTCAGATTATAATGATGCATTCTGCTTATAGCATAGCATTCATTGTTGTTATAAAATAGTTACTAGGGTGGTTCTTCACTAATCAACATTTACAAGAAGAGATTTTGGTCTTAGAAGTTTTACAAGTATAAGAAGAATAAACTTACATCTAGCCAACATAACACACTCAACAATTTTTGGAAGATACGTTCTAATCATTTATACCCAGGGAAGTAACAATACAACTTCTTGTTGCTCCATAGTTTCTTAATGTTATTGTACTTTTTGTTAATATTTAATACCTTGTGCATTTTATGTTTGTTCAATGCCAGCAACACAAACAGCTCAGACTCTGGTTGTGCACTATTTCCTGTTTTACTCAGATTTCAGAATCTCACATCACTAATATATCTGAATCACTAATACTTCCAGAATGTTTGATTGCCAGTTTTTTGATATTTAAGGTATATTGTTCCTACATTGTTTTCAGAAACAACTGTGCATTGAGACATTTACCTACGAAAACAATTGTTTTTACTTTTACCATATTTAAAATAAAGTGAAATGTGAAAGAGTGTTTTTCTGTTTTATTATCTTTCTGACAGTCAAAGCTGTTCCCACATTTGTTATTCTTCAAAAAGCTAGCCATTCTCAGTTGGAAGAAAGGGAAAAGCTGAATCTGAAAAGCATGAATCTTCCTCATGTTTGTCTGAAGCTCTGGATCTGTGTTCTCTAGTTGACTCTAACAGAAATTCAAGTCATAGAAAATCCCAAATTTTTGGACGAGAGTGAGGATTTTCTTTGCCATCGATATATGCCATGACTTGGGATTGTCTCAGTGGCACCCTTAAAAAATGGGTATAATTATGATGAAAGAATTTCATAATGGATTAAGTGTTTATTGATAGAGAAAAATAAAGCAATAAAAATTCATTTAAAAGGAAGTCCTCAGAAGTAAAATACAGGCTTCTAGTTTTAATGAAGGTATCCAAGTTGGCATAAGTGGTTTGCAGCTGGCTGATAACCCATACATTGGCAGTTCAAACCCACCCAGTGGCTTCGTGGGAGAATGGTATCGAGAACTGCTTCTATAAAGATTAGTCAAGAAAACTCTATGGTGTCACCATGAGCTGGGGGCTGACTCAAAGGCCACTGACATCACCAACATCAGTTTTAATTTAGATTATGCGGTAAGAGGGCAAAAAACAACAGGAGTACAAAAATGTCTAAGACTTTATTTCTCCAGGGCAGAGGCTATGACTTCGTTTCTACATAATAAACCAAAACCAAACCCATTGCTGTCAAGTCAATTCCGACTCAGTAGTGACCCTATAGGACAGAGTAGAACTGCCCATAAGGTTCCCAAGGAGCAACTGGTGGATTCGAATTGCCAACCGGGGCTCCTTGTACGTAACCGATACTCAATCAATACATGAGAAGAGCCCCGAAGAGAAGTTTGTGTGTCAGGAAGTGGTTAAGTTTAAGTTTGCTGCTGTTGGTGATTTTAGCGAGTCACTTTATATTTCTGCATTTGATTTTCCAAATTTGTAAGACAAGAAGGTTGGGCTAGATCTTTTGGATCTTTTTTACCTCCTAAATTATATGATTCTAAATACTTTGAAAATCCTAGTGTTATAGGATTACTTTGGACTAAGCTAAAATATACCTAATAAATGAAGACTCAAACACATTTTTTGTTTTAAAAGTGACCGTTGATTTTCAATTTCTCCTCCTCTCTTCCTTTCAGTTCTGCAGACTGACTTATGTAGACAGAGATAGAATTTAATTATGTCAGTTTAGGGTAATAGAGAAGAAAGTTTAAAAATGATATCTCATGAATCTAGATCCATTTAAAGTGGATGGTCAGGTAGAAACTCTTGGAAAGTCTTAAGTTCTTTTGCCTTATCCAGTGTTGGTTTTTACTGTCAAGATTTTTTTTAATTTTTTTACTGTGCTTCAGGTGAAGGCTTACAGAACAAATAGTTTCTCATGAAACAGTAGTACACGTATTGTTTTATGACATTGGTTAGCAACCCCACAACATGTCAACCCTCTAACTTCTCAACCTTTTTTTTTTTTTGGTGAAAATACACACAGCCAAAGATACACCATTTCAAAAATTTCT